AAAATTTTTACATGGAAATTGTAGATCTCGTCGTCCTCTACAAGAAAGGTTGTATACAATTTTCTCGTATGTATAACGGTTTAGGAGTTATTGAGGAAAAACGAAAATTTGGAAGAAATTGAAGGGGTACCCCTTGGAAAAATTTCGGAAAAATCGAAAAAAAATTTTTGTTGTTTATTATGAGCAATGTTCTTTCGACGTCTGATTTCTTTTTAAAAAATGAGTTTCTAAAGTGCATAAACTTTTGGGATTGGCTGTATAGCCAATACATCCTTAAATGTATCGTTGATTGTTCGACACCATCAATATTACTTTCTTCTCGAAAAAGTATCTTTCCTCTATCATTGTGAAACCAAATGAAAGTAAAGACATTAAATATTATAAGGGCGGTTATAAACAATTTAATATAAAAACGCGGAATTAATTTCTACATGAAAAGGTAACGCGGCTACGATTTTCTTCGCTGTAGAATTCGATAGGGACAGGGGAAGCATTCTGGACGTGTCCTGAGACATCCGGGCTCCTGGTGCGAAAATTCTTCAAGGGTGCGTAGCCACTATTGATTCCAGGGATCCCGCCACCCTTACGCACCCTCGCATTTCTCTGTCCCTCTCTCTTTCACCCCCGTTACCTTCTTTGTCCCCACCCGAACCCTCCCCCTTTTGCCCCCGTGTACCCGTCGCCATCTATACTCCTCTTGAAGGGCCCTTTCCTCCTGGCCCGAATTACGTCGCTCCTCCTTGCTTTGCTTCCATCGACTGATCCACCCCGGAGGGGTGAAACCCGCTCTCGCTTGTTCCCTTCGTCTCAGATCGCTCGTTTCCACGGTCGTCCCAGTTATTAAACTACCCACTCCACAATTTTATGGAATCACGTGAACAGCATTGCCATTGGAAATAACGTTGATGACAGCGACCGAAGTAATTATCCTTAGACCCGACCCGTCCGTTCGCTTCACTTGATCGTGGAAAAAATCACAGCAATAGGAAACGAGAGCGAACGTCTCGCTCGTTCGCGTTAAAATGCGCAACGAAGAAAATGTTTAGAACAATTTCAAAGAACGCGGATGGTTTCAGGGTCAAATCCATTAATTCTTATGGTGCCCGGAAACCATTTAAGGATCCCACGCCACGTTTTGGCTACGCTTCATTGACACGCCGATACTTACGACCCGTCTAACTATTAATTATCTTTAAACACCCCCTTAACCTACCTCAACCGTAATTACTGCGGGGAACAAAGAACCACCGTGCAGTTCGCAGCGAAGTTTACACCGTCGTCCGGGCATGAATGGCTTATCAGCATATTTTAAGAATCGAGCAAAATTATTTGGTAATAAATGTCAGGGAACTTGCTTCGTATAAACGTTCCTGACCGTAAATGGCTCTTTATTCGTTGCACTCAGAGCACCGGCGTTTCTATTACTTGTTAAGTTACCCCGTGTAATAAAAATTCATGGTGCGACCACGCGACCGTGGTGGCACGTTCAAAATTCAAGTTCGACCCGGTGCTATAACTAGCTGTCCACTTGTTTATAAATAGTGGATCAACGTCTCTTACGTGGCCACTCCCCTCGCGGCGTGTCCGCTCTTTTCTCATCCTCCAACCCCTTTGCGTAATTCGGTGATTTGTAATCATCATTTGTTTTCTTTATTCCCGAAAGATTATGGCACAAGTTACACAGGTGTGCCATTCAGTTCAGATCCCAGGTGGTACTCGGCTAGAAATTATTGCGTATGCGTAATCTTTCTGTGTCGGTTCATTGAACGAAAGCTAGGACCACTGTTTTATATAGAATTCATTATTTATTTTCTTCTCCCGCATGAGAAGATGGAAACGTTGTGCTGAATTTCTGCCTACAATTTAGCTTTTATAGGTAGGCGTAGCAGGATTGATTTCGGATCTGAAAGGGCAAGGCGTTTGGATGCATCAAAAATTCAAATGCTATCCGGTTCCGTGAATGATAAATCTATTTAGTTCAAGGATAACACCCTCGTCATTGCCAACGATAATCACGATGAAACGTGAGCACAGAAAAGCCAGGAATACCCGCGGTCGACCTGCACCCATATACCTGCAGACATACACAAAAGAAAGGCGAATCCTTCCTTCCTACCTGGCCAAACAAAGAGACCTCCGTAACGGAATCAATCCCGACCCTACACGGGACAAAACGAGAAATCTGTATTTCGTTTTCCACCAATTTTATAATTACTCATTTTCGACGGTTCCAAATGACGAAATTCTGCTCGCCGATTCGACCATTTCGCGGTGTGCCTTGACGGTTTGAGAGCTAATGAACTGCGAGTCGAATGCACGCGAAACAAAGTGGGTATATACGGCGGTGTCTTTAGAAACTCGCAGTGGTAGGGCGCACTTGTATTCTCCCTCCTCTTTGGGTTACAAGTTGATCAGAGAAGTGCTCTTGATGTAGAGCAAAAGGGTGAAGCGTTACATTTCTTAGTTATTTGCCGTTACGAAGTAAAGTTTGAACGATTTATTTTTATCTTTTTTTACGAGACGAAATCTGTTTTCATCGAATAATTCTCGTTCCTAGCAGGAAATGATAAGAAGTACGGTTCGTCTGCCGATTAATTCGGACAATGGACGTTCTTAATTAATTTCCGTATCGAGTTTAGTCCGAAGCTCTTTGTTAGGGGTAGCGAGCCAAGGGTAGTGTAGTAACAGGGCGAACTATGGAAAAGCACAACTTCGTATTTGCCGGCGTCCATCAGATGGCGACTCTTTACACGAGAAGCGTGGTACGCCGACAGCGTTAGAATACGATAGAGTACGATCTCATTCAACGATCTTCAGAAGCCATCTTAGAGAGTGTTTTCCTGAATCATGAAGAGTACGTATTACGAGCGATAGAGAAACGATGAGGAACGTAGGGAACACGTGCGTTCATATTCGTGGTACGAGGAAAATGTTCCGGTTTTTGATATACCCACGCAGGATAGTCGGGGAACCTTTTCCTATTCACCCTCCTCCGGAGTCTCACACGCCGGCTACGACGCTGCGATGTATTTTGGTGGGGACGAACAGTAAAGCTTCCCCTGGAAATAGGAGAGGGAGGAACGGAATCGTGGAGGGGATTGAACCCGGTGGAGGGTAGGGGTATATTGGGCGCGGCCTAGGACGGCCGCGCACCGCGTTGTTATAAAAATAATATCAGTGTACTCAGCGCGCTTTCTCGTTAGATATCCCGGGCCAATATAACCGCCGTCAGCGTAGCACGCCGGTCCTCAGCCGCGTGTGTCTTTTATTCTTCCGTACCTGCTCGAAAACCCGTGTGACGTTACACGCTCTCTTCCGATCGTAGAAAGAGATAGGGAGAGATAGAGAGAGGTGTGCGTGAAACTCGGACGAGAGTCCTATCCCTGGTCTCGACGCGCATTTATGTCCCATTGATCGCCGCGCATTCGTCGTGATCGCAGCCAGCGTTGATCGAAACGCCCGGCAAAAACGTAAGAAAAGGGGTAGTACGGTACGAAAGGGTGGAAGAGACACAGTGGGAGAGAAAGAAGGGAGAAGCGGGACAGAGAAAGAGGAAGAAAGAGTGACCGGGGAACACGGAGAGAGGGCGCACCCACGTATAGGTGCGCGGAAACCTAAGGCCAGTGTCATTACGATCATAGTATAACGCGAGCGCACGAAACGGAGTAGCCGGGTCGTCGTGTCAGTTCGTCTTCGGCGGAGCAAAAGCCGCGCATCGGGCATTACCTCACCACCGCACACGATCGATTTAATATCCCACGTGCGTCCGGAATTTGTAAAGTGTTCACGCAGCAGAACCGACCGCGTAATTTCGTGGTACGCGTCGTTCTCTCGTACCGGCGTTTTTAACCTGTTGTGTCATCGCGTTAAAACGGTGTTCCATCGTTCTTCCCGGCGGAGAGCAGTAGCGGGAACCGGATAACGCACGGTCCCGGAATCGTCTCGAGCGACCAATCACGTTTCAGCTCTTCTCCGGCTGTCTCCACCGTTTTAGTTGGTAAAAGTGCTCGTGCGTCTTCGATACGTGGTGGGATTTCTTCGTTGGCCAGACGGAGAGAGATAGGAAGGCGTGCGCGCGCGAGAGAGAGAGAGAGAGTGAGAGAGAGAGAGAGAGAGAAGGGACGAGGCCGAGGGAAGGCCAAAGGGAAAGGCAGCGGTAGTAGAAAGCCGAGGCAAGGAGGAAAGCACGAAACTGCTCCACCCGCACGAGTTTCCCTTTGGCGGTCGTTCAGAGAGCGAGACACTATCTCGGACGGAGGATTGCAACGTCGGTGCATTCATACGTGGATCGTCGTCTCGACACTGTTGTTTCGTTTTTTTTTTACTTTTTGTTTACCGCGGATTCGCGTCTCTTTGGTAATCGTTGCTGTTCCCGATAACCGCTGCACGTCACGCGTGGTCGCGTGTCATCGTCGTGGAAAGTGTTGACCGAACGCCAGGAGGAAGCGCGTTCTAGCGAAGCAGTCACGACGTGCGTGAAGAACGAAAGAGGGAGGAACACGCGCGAAGGAGTACGGAATTAAGGAGATCGGAGAGGACGCTACCGTACGGAGAACTGAAAAGAGTTTGGAACGTCGGACGTGAGTCGCGTCTTCACTCGCGGATACGTCGTCGCATCCACACACACACACATACATATATATATATATATGTCCTATTTTCATCCTTTTTCTTGCTCTTCTCTCTTTTATTCGTGTTCGTTCTGCTGCGCGAACGAGAAATCAGCCAGTGTTTAGTGCCAGTGTTTGTCTACCTCAGTCGATTAGCGGCAGCTAACCGCGGAAAGCTGCATTAAAAAGATATTTAGTAAAGAGAGAGAAAAAATATATATATATAGAAATATATATAATATAAAGTATATAATATATATATTATATTGAACAGTGCTAAAGATTCGTCGAAGTATTGTTGTAAATATCGTCTATTCGGTTTTTGTGTGAATTTTCCAATCGACGAGAGGAATCATGTCCCTGGATAAGTTTGCGGAAGGCGGCGTGTTGCAGAAGGAAATGGAGCGTATGGAAATCGAAGAGAAAAACGGCGATACCACAAGGTAAATTAGTCATCCTCTATTTAAGAGTCTTAGCCTTTTGTGCTGCGTTTCCGCTCGGGTCCAAATATTCGTAATAAGGACCACCTACGCGTTTCGTATATCGAAACTACTTTCGCGCCATTTCTTATCAATATGATTCGATTTAATATCTTCCAAGCGACTTAACATAGGTCGTATGACCCGCGCAATGACTTCAGGAGTTTCTAGACATGCCGATAGTAAATTATCGTGATGGGTCTCTAGAACACGTTAGTCTAAAATTTCTAGATATTATCCCTCGTTTACTTAGGGCTAGTAGATACAATTATATTCAAGGTTGTCTTCAGACGAGGTAGGATTTGTAGCACAGATTTCTGTAATATGAGTAATATTATAAATATTATCCTCGATCATGGAAAACGTTGCGATGTTTGCCTTAAACTAGGCGTTTCGGGGATATGTTGGTAATAACGATGTGTACGAATATTAGAACTGACCTAACGGTTCACCGTGTCAACAGAGCAGAGCATCCGCGAACGCTTGACATACACACACGCGTAACTTAACCAACTTTTGAAAGAGACGGTGATATATTAATGGTTTCAAGTGGATACTGCTTGTTCAGTGCGATTTATTGTGCCTGAGCGAGTTACTTTCCCCCCGTTTAATTCCCTCTCGTAGTTACGTAAGATTTCTTTTAAACCGCGTTGAATGCTTCGGTAATTAAATTACGTAATAGCTCATTTTTCCGCGAATCTCATCGATCGTTTAATTCACTTTACGGTCCTAAAGTGAACTTCGTAGCGTCGCAACGATTCGTTCATCAGTAAGTATTCGTTTCATCGTTCATTTGTTTGTGACCGTCTATCGCAACCCGATTGACTAACTTGGAATATTCACTTTTGGCATATTTCGGCCGACACGTGACAAGTATAAAATGATATCGTTCCCCTGGTCGACTATTTATAGATAAAAAATTCGGGCCCCTATCCCTTTTCCCGGAAATCAGGTTTTTACAACGGAAATTCGTGACTGCGTGTGATGTTAGCTTTATCAAACTCGACGCTTTCGTAATAGTCGACTCACTCCGAAATCTCTCGACATTCCTGGCAGTACATGCCGCTGGTAGCTGACCATTTTGTTTGGCGACTTGTTTTTCTAAAACACGAAATCCGATGATAATAGGAAGTCGATAGCAGCGAGTTTCAATTGTCCCAAGAGTTAAACGAACGCGATATCTATTGTCACTGATTCGTCAATTCGTCAATTGGGCGATCATATTTTTGTAATTATTCAGCTTCCTCGTTACACGTTGTGTAACTATCGCACTTCTGTTTTCTCTTTCGTTAAGCTGGCCGTGGCCTTGATATCGCACGTGGCACAGCTCTGCAAGCGTCCCTGAAATTCGGCTGGTTTCGGCGTCAACCAGGCGGGAAATGAAAATTCAACGTTAACGCTTATTTAATTTCGCCGGAAAGCGTCTCAGTCGTAATTAATTCAGTTGCCTGCGCGTGATACGCTAGAACATTTCTCATTAATGACAATTGGGTTTAGCCTGAAACGTCGATCCGGGGAACGAGAGTTTGTCCGGGATTAGAATTAATTATTACTTCATCAAGAATACTCGGTTCGAGCATCTTTCAATAAAATATCTCATAATGAGATCAAGTCGTCCAACAGAATGGGAAACTGTAGTGGACAAACAGGTATGAGTAAATCGTGCGATGCGGGCTTGGAAATATGATGGCTGAGAAGTAATGTTGTAATAGTGATTCACTCGAAGGAAACAACGATAAAGGTCGGACGAAAAAAAGTGTCCACGTGGGCACTCATAGTAGATACAGGCGCGTCACGGTAATGCCGAAACGTATCGTGGCATAAAAATAGAAAATGCCCGCGACGAAAATATTTTACGCGAAGCCGACAAATGCATTGTTACGGTTAATTATATACCAAAATCTATAGCTTCTCTTGAAATCTCATAAATAGTCTAGGATAAAAGTAGTAAAGTCACGCGGAGAAGTGGGTTTCTGTGTATATCTTCATAACCGTGGTACAGGCGGAACCGACTCAAACAACATAAGAATGATATATGATATAAGTGTGAAGGAATTGGAATCTTGCGAAGTTCCATTCGTAAGTAAAAAGAATTCTGAATCGTTTTCTCTGAGGGCGATTCTTCCAAATGTAAAATCCCAAATTTTTTGTATGCATTAAACGAATGAGTAGAAATTGGAACATTTAGTATATTTACACTTTTCTAGTCGCTATTGAGCGGAAATTTCGCTATTGGAATTAAATTTACTTAAATATTTCACGCGTACGGCTCGCGTAAACCTAATTCACCTCATAATTAATTTGGTGTATCTGTGAATTCAATCTGCTTAATCCTATCTATTTACTATCAGATTCGACAGTTGCTCTGTCAGTTCAGCTTTGTTTGCTTATTACGTGTCCTATGGCAGTGGAATTTTTTTCTAGATATGTACTATTTATGGATTTATAATATTCGATTTATATATTAATTTCAACGTAATCAAAGATTGTTCAGAATGAGTTTGCTTGCTTTCATACAAAGTCGTATGGAATCATTTACGGAATCATAATGTCTTTAGGCAACAATGACATTATTAAGTATGAGTAACTTAATAAAATTGTACAAATGATCGGTGGTTCCTTTTGATCATTTGACCTCCACGTTACAAACCGAAATACGTACGTTTTTCATCTAAGTCTACATTACAGAAAATACCACTAAATAATGTTTGATTGTGAATGTCGATGATCGATGATCATTAAGATTGATGTGAGAAAATGGATGTGAAGGTGAATGGGTGTTACGTGTGCGCACGAAACCCAAGTGATAGTTGTGTGGCTCTATCTTTTGATGGAAACGTGTGTCAGACTTTTCCTCATCGGTAACGTAGATGCCTGTGGTATTTCAGCGGAAAAATCGAAAGTGTGAACGAAATATTTTTCGATTCAACAGAATAAGCGAATCTATTTAAAAATTTCGATCTCGTTGGAAAACGTATCTCCAAAAAAATAGATAAAAATTTGTAGATAATATATTTAAAAGTTTTCGTACTAGTTCTTCAAGAAATAAACCCTGATGAAATGAATACTGCAAAATATTGTGCAATATCATCAAATCTGAATTAAGCACACTAGAAATAAGAAAGAAAACTTTAGATATTTCTTTTGCTTATCAGATTAACAATGGTCTTATATTTTGCCTTGACTTAATTGCCACGTTCAAGTATACCGAAGAATTTTGCAGACCCATATTAAGATTAAATCATAAATATGCTTCCCTAAAATTACAGTAACTTGCAGCTTAATAAAATTTAATTTCTGTTGTACGGTCAAAGGAAATTGGCATCCATAAAAAATAGCTTTTATGGATTTTTCCGAAAGACCTTTACTTCAGGTAGCAACCGTAAGGGATGAAATGGTATATTGTGAATTTGCTTAGGGTTTGGGCCCTCGGACCATAGATTTCCCACAAATTTTCATCCGTCAGTTGTCAGGGATTTGTATTTGGGAAATCTCGAACAAAAGGTTCAGGTATTGGTTTTATGAACATCTGCTAGAATTCGATTGTGTTTCGAAAGACCCAGGCAGATATTTGGGATGGAATTAGTTCCCTAACGTTTCCTACCTGAACTTCGAAACCTTGAATAAACTGTTGCAACGATAAATCCTCCTCTTCGCATTTATCTTTCAGGGCCCTTCGCAAATTTTACAGGAACTATGAAAGTCCCTTTTATTGTACGCGGACCTACCCGAAACCTTGTCTTTTATAAATTGCTTTATTTCTAAAATATTTGCAAGAATAGAAATGAATTTCAGTTTTGCTGTAAAAATTGTTTCGGACGAATAGCGACAAAAGCAGGAAGTCGCTGCGTAGAAATGGCTGACACTTTCCTCAGGGTGGACGGTCGCCATTTGCAAACCAGTCTTCACTGACACACAGATTCATTAGCATACGAGTTGATACCAGTCGAACCACCATAATGTTACATCTTCCGCGATACTCCGTTACGTTTATTTTCCCCATCGATGGGTTCAACATCGTATTTAACACCCGTTCTTCCTTGTTTTTAGGACTTCCTTTTGAAGTTCAACGTAAAATTGATTGTGCATGATTCATAAAAATAAAATGTAACAAGGAAATATGTAGATGGAATTTTCACAATTTTTCTCATAGGTTTCATCAAATTTTCTAGACTCACAATATCTGAATACTTGCCAAAAAGCATGCATTGACATGGGAGTAAGTACAAAGACCTGGCACTGTTAATTTAAAATTAGAGCATGACTCGTCTTTAAATAGCATCCTTTAATCAACGACCCGATGTTCTCATAACCCGCATTTACGTAAATTACATCACGAATTTATTCAACGTAATTATCGTATAAGATGCAAATTTTATTTCGCGGCCGGTGTCCTCGTCCGCCCCGAGGATGCATCCCGTTGCAAAATCTGAGTAGCGCACATCAGCCTCGCGATAATTGCGAAATTCTCCCAGGTCAGCTCGTTCGAAGTTCTTTGCACTTTCTCCTCGTCCTCGTCTGGAGCACGTTGTGCGGTTCGTACACCTCGCGAAACGTCGGAAAGGAGGACAATCGGCGACTCGTGTCGCTTCTACGACTAGCCTCTCCCCTTCCGTCGTCGCGTTCGTTCTCAGAAAGGCATACGAATCCGCAAAGAAGCTACCAGCACCGGTCAGCGGTTTCCTCCGGTGTTAACGATCCCCTTATCTCGCCTCGCCGAGAATAAACGACGAAAATCGTTCTTAATTCGCTGCCTGTTTAAAATCATCGCAAATATCGGCCATACCAATTTTTATGGACAGCTCATAATCGAACTTGGAAGGGAAAACACGTTATTAAAGAGATCGAATCTGAATTACAGGCAATTAAGGTGAAAAGTACGCAAGATTAATGACTTATGATAAAGTAATCATGTACAATTATGATAAACATACACATAAAATGTAACGTAAAATTCATTTAAA